AAAAATACCTGTAGATCTCTGTAGTTCCTTCAAAAATCTCATTAAAATCAGCTTCAGCAAACCTGCTGRTTTTACCGTCTTACGCTGCTTTAAGATTTCAGCTGCTGTCTCGACAGCTTTTAGGTTTTTAGCCACAGTTCTGCAGGACTCACTCTGCACACTGAACAACATCGTTTATTTACTTGTGTGCAGTGCTCACCGTCTCCCAGCAGATGCTGGATGCTGGACAGATACTGCTGCTGGACGTCCGGAGGAGCCAGAGGAGTCTGGGTGAAATAAAAAACAAACTTTCCTCACTCCTCGTATTCATTTAAKGTGCTCCTTCTCTCTGAATGTTTGGGTTTATTTCTGATATTTCATCACCARGACGCTGTTTCCCACAGAGTTATCCAGGTAAAGGTATCCTCCGATGATGTTGAGCTGCACTCGAAGGAGAACGACCAGCATGCAGGTGCTGTAGARGGCCACGATGGTGCGGGTGAAGCCTGCAGAAAAACAAGGTTCGACACTAAAAATATAAATCTCAGTGACAAAAAAAACACAACGAAATTAAATATCTGTCATCGACTTCACAGTGTGCGACAGAAAGACACTTACTGATGATTTTTAAATCCTCCCAAATCTCAAGTTTATTAGCTGGTCTGTCAATCAACACAGAAATAAAGCATTTATTTATTCAGGCTGAACTTAATTTTACATTTAAAATAAAAGCAGCAAATCTATTTGTGTTACAGAATGAAGACAAATGAATGTTATGACTGATTGTTAATTTGTATCTAACGTTGACTCTTCTCACTTAGTTTTCAGCAGCGCGGTGAGGCTCTCAGAGTTCAGCTGAGTCACGATGGCCTCTTTCAGCGACGGCAGCATCGACAGAACTGTGAAACACAAAAAACTGTGAGAGACGAGACTAAACCCTGCGTCCTTCTTAACCAGTCGATGAGRTCAGACCAGTCATGTTGCAGGTCCTTTGGTTGCTCTCAAAGTGGAACTGTCGTCTCGCCTGAGCAATGTACTCCGTCGCCTCCTTCTCCTGAACCTCCACCATCTTCTTCTGAGCATATTTACCCAAAAGGTACGCTCCTGAGAACAGACYGACACGCAGAGCGTCAACGTATACGAGCAGCAGAGAGCATGCAGTCATTTTGAGGCATCCAGATTTTACCACTTAAAAGTAAAAATCACTACAATGGGATCACCTCTAAAAACAACAACTATTTTTAGTGTTTAAGAGCTGAGATTCTTAACCCATGGGCCGCGGCCGAGCGCCACCTTGAGGGCCTCAAAAGAACAACAGTTTTTAACTTTGGGCCGCAGAGGGCCGCTGGACCACATTGATTTAGAATAAGGTGTAATACACTTTCTCACCACTAGTAGCAGTAGTGTACGGAGCCCGCCGGGGGTCAGTGGTGAAAAAAGAAAAACAGCCGCCGGAAATTCGTGAAACAGAAACTGAGCGCACAGATTACTAATCTGTGCGCTCAGTTTCTG